GGAATCTATAATAACAAATTCAACATACCAGCATTGTTTAAGTATATGTATAGTCTAAAACATCCTTAAGAGAATATCTCGCTTATTCGTTGTATAAAATGAGAGATTTGAATGTTTCAAAAATATGAATTCAATAATTGAAACAGTAGTACTATCATTTGGTAACAGAATTCTTTATAAAATTGGTATGTCTCGCCGCATGCCACTATCGAGAAGAAAAGAATGCCGACATCGAATAAATTCGTTATACGCGACGATATTATTTTCTGACGTCGATATACGTTTTGCGACCGCAGCAACTTCGATATACCAAGTTCCCGTAGGTTTGGGAGAAATTTTTTTTGGGGCAAATCGAGCGGTCGTGGCTGCACCCGTGCGTATAATCGAAGACATACGGGGGTGGAACCGGGCGCTCTCTCTTTCTCGTTAGGCCACCCACGGCATTCCAGTAAATCGGGGCTACCACCGCGCCTCCCTCACCCACACACTCGACACCCCCGGGGGGTATCTTTCAAGGCCCCTTCCCCTCCGCTAACCCCCGTGTCACACCGGCAGTGCGGCTGCTGCTGAATGACCGAAAGTGGGGGTAGAAACCTCCGTCTCTCCCTTGTTCACGAGAGAGGAGGCGCCCACGCAATCAATAGCCAAGCCTTGCCGCTTCTACTGAATGGACTCTGCCCTCCACGGCCTCGGCGAACGCGAACGCGGTTCCTCTCCGTCTGCCTCCAGCCGGCGTCCGCTTCTGTCCCCCTCTCGCCCCCACGCTATCGATTACTACGTTCTTGCCGTGCGATCCCGCGGGGGGCCGCTCTATCGACCCGTCCACCTGTATTACAGTTCATTCATAAATCTTTGCTTCTTGCTTATCGCATGCCATCCGGTTATCACGGCCTGATTTTTCACACGAGAATCAGAGAATCTCGTCCGTTTCAATTTACAAAAGGATTTCTTTGTGGTGTTTGTGACAGGGTACTCCGTAAACGAGTATATCGTGGACAGAGTAATAAACTCGTTCATCTCTCAATGTATAGCCTTTCTGCGACCTTCCCAATTTATGGAAACGGCAAAGGGCAGACTAAACATGTTAGCTTTATCGTAACCATCTTTTTACTTGTTCGTTGATAGAGTTAATTAAGATAGTGCAGTTAACTCTCTCTGGAATAGTCGTCGGTGTAGAAAGATCAATTCTCGTTGAACTTGCTACAATAACTAATTCCAAATGTGACTCCTGTCAATATTCGATCACACTTCAATATAGAATAACTTCCCCTACATCACTCAATTTTCTTGTAGGATTGCTACAAATGAATTTCTGAAAGTACAGATGGTATTTCTTTAATTCCTTTACGTTGTAATTGTGATTACGATTATGATTTTCTTTATAATTATAATTATATTATATCTTCTCAATAATATCGATATAAAATTTACATAAAAATCGTGAAAAACGTTACTATAATGTTGCACTGCAACGTATAAATGCGCTGTTCTTGAAATGTTACAGCAACATTGTACGGCAATTGCAATGTGATAATGTTTAAGATACGTTGTGGCAATATCGAGTGCTGTTGGAGTCTTTTAATATTCGATCAAACAACTTCATCTTTGGGATGTTAGGAGATCTGGTTTCCTACGTAAAATATAACAAAAAATTGATATTCTTCAGAATCTTGAAGAAAGAAGGGAAAGGGCATCGTTTTTAACTTTTTCATTAGGATCTCCAATAAAAATTTGAAATATGCCGTTTGTAGATCTGACTAGTTCTGAAAAATCGATGGAAGCATACGTAAGTTAAACACATCGAAGCACGTGAAAATTCTTTAATTTATCTTAGTTGTAGAAATTTAGTAGCGATTTTCGAAAAATACATTATATATTGAAATAAACTGTCTACCGTTCCATAGAAAATTAAGTTATTTGGTCCAATATTAAAAATGTTATTCCGTTTTGAAACGTGCCCCAATATTAATTCTGTATGAAACATTGGATTAATTCCTATATTAATTATTGTATCAATCATTTTATGAAAGATTGTATCAGTTCCTTTAAAGGATTGCAGATCTTTTAATTGGGACAATTAACGATTTTAGCAAATTCTCTAATTGCGCTTTAAAGGATTAGGATAAAAGAAACTCATGTCAAGATCGAATTTTCTAAATCGACATTAAAAATGTTTTATTTTGCATACAAGTCGGCAGTCTAATTATCATACTCAATATTAAAAAAGTTATTCCACTTTGAAATGTGTCCGAATAGTAATGAGAGTCACTTGGCACTGATTTCGTTTATGTGAAATTAATAGCTAAATTGTTAACTGAACATTAGAGCTTAAAATCTCTTAATACCTTCCGAATAGCTTGATTTAATAGGATCTTTCTAATGGTGTAATATCTTGCAATGTAATTTAGGAAAGGAAAGACTAAACGTGGTAGGTTTACCATATTCATGTTTCTACCCATTCATTCGTAGAAGTAATTGAGATAGTTGAATGAAATAGTCGTCGGTGTAAAATGAATCATTTTCGTTAAACTTGCTACAAGGACGAATCCAAATGCATTTCATTTATATACTAGCGTTAATTCCACTCGCGTATAATTAATAATTATTATTCATGTCATCTCTAAATTACAGAACTTAAAATCGTCCAATTAATTTAATAAGATCTCTCTCGTCGTGTAATATCCTGCAATTTAATTCGGGAAATTATTCGGTGAAAGGTTTTCTCTGTCTCTCTCTGAACGTTGTGAGCGTCCGTTTGATAAGATAAGAGTAAATACGAGCACTGTCCAATCTAGTGGCCTCTCGGATGGACCTCCACTTTATTTGAAATCCAATCGCTTTACGGGCGAGGTGATAGAGAGGTGCTCTTGTAGACACTTGTTTGACGTAATCGAAAAGGGACTAAATATTTTCGGAGTTTTCGCAAATACCAAATAAACGATATTTTATAAAGAAAAAAGAAAAATAAACTCATCAGCCTAGTGTGGTAAATGTTGAGATTTCTATCCACTAACGAATTTTTCTGTGACTTTATGTTTGATAAATCCTTTCCCTTAAAATTAAAAATTCTTAATTAACAATAAAACTTTTAAATTCAAAAAATAATATTAATTTGAAAATTTTTATTCATTCAAATTTCTCATAATCGATTTCGTTTCTTCAACTGAGAAGTTTTGTTATCAATTACACATTTTTAATTTGTATGGAAAGAATTTATTAAATATAAAATTATAGGAAAGTACGACAGTGACTGAAAATTGGGATATTTACCTCATTTTTTACTTCGAGTACTATTTAGTGCACACAAAACTTAATTACTTTTCATATTTAGGAACAGTAATAATTGGTAGAAACGCAAATTCCCAAATAGTTAATAAATTTATTTATTACACTTTCTGTTAAATACTGTACATTCCATCGGTTTTGTTAAATGCTCAAGAATACGTGTACGAATTAATCTAAGCACTAAACATCTACAATTAATATCGTCAGGCTACAAACTTTTACAGATTTATGAGTGTGTACCATTTATTCGGTGCGATTTCTGTTTAAAACATAATAACATCGTGAACTTAAGTATCGTCGAATGTTCTAACAACGATAATTAGGCGAGATGTTTACGAAGAAAACTAATTTTTATCAAAGTGAAAAGTTGCTTCAGTTCTTATATATTTAGTTCTTTTTTCATCCAGTTACCAATGTCTTGCGTGATACACGAATATGTATAATAATGATTCTCATATTATCTTATGTACTATACACATCCGTTATGGTTGCGATTCAGCGCTTAAAAACAAAACATTTATTACAGAAATATTCGAGAACAGCTGTATACGAAAAGAATTTCGTAAACTCGTCTCCCTGCCCCATTTCCTTATTTAACCGGATCATCTTTGCGTTACATTTTGAAGAAAGATGCTCTCGTTCGTTCGCGTTATATCTCTATAAAAAAGCACGTAACGCGTCGCACAGAAAGCGATTACGTGGAAAGAATAATCGTTATTCCTTTCGACAGTGTACATACATTTAAAAGAGACGTAAAAAAAGATAAATGAAACGTGTTTCATGGGCGATTGATTAGCTTGGTCCTTAACTGCTCGTGGAAGATCATCTCTCACTGCTCCAGTAACTTTTACCGATAACTTCTGGAAACGTACGAGTCTTCTTACAATAAACAGAATAACTCCTGAGTGAGTCAATTGCTTGGATAGAATCGCGAAGCTCTAAACACGAGACGGTAGGCGCCATTAAGTATATTTCAAACGAAAATTTTAATCGAAACTTGTGAAGTTCTTCAATTTGTGTAAGCTCTCAATTAAACTGCGCCCACGTCTCTGAATTGAAGACTGTGACTGCGTCAGCAGGATGCTGAACGTGTTATTACTTACCTGTACGATTGCTAACCGGGCTGCGACTTCGGGAATAACTTCTGCTGTAACTTCGACGATTATTACGCCCGTTGTGTTCCCTACTGTGACTTCGGCTTCGACTTCTCGAGTAGCTACGGTCTTTCCCGTTACGGCCACCTCGTGACCGCCATCTGTTCCTTCCACCTGTGGCATCAATTTATTCCTTCAATAATCGCACATGCTTCGATTGAAAATACTTGTTAGGCGAAAATAGTTTCGATAAATCTGTGGCACCGTTCATTTAGAATTAAGATAGGATACCTCTGTGCCTTCCGTATCCTCCGCTTTTACTATCGGCGAGCTCTAACAGCTTCGGATTGATCACCTGATTCGCTTCTTTTAGTACCTGGATCAGGTCGTTAGCCTTATTCGAATTATTAGGTGTAAAAAAGGTATATGCTGTACCAGTTTTTTGCCGTCGACCCGTTCGGCCGATACGGTGAACGTAATCCTCTGAACAGGAGGGATAGTCAAAATTGATGACAAACTTGACGTCTTCAACGTCTGAAATAAAGCATATGGGATTAGCTGTTAATCGTCGGGAGCATCCGCCTCCGGGACAGACAGATATTGATTAAGATAGTAGTTATGGCAAAGCGTATATGTATATATATAAATATATATATAATAATCGTATTTAAATATAGATCGGTTTTCAAAGAAATACGCTCTCCAAATTCCTCTAACTACCTACGAGAGTCTCTTTAGAGTATTTTTAGAGGAAAGATTGGAATTGAAAGATGAACGAAATATTTCCGATTTTCTTAAAATAATGAACAAAAAAAAGAAAGAGTACTATATTATTTTAGAGAGCGTCCTGACCAAAGTATAGTAGTTCTTGAGTAAAAATAAGACAATCCTGGTTTCCTCTTGTAAGAAACGTATTTCTGAACCGTATACAATTACGAATTATTATCATTAGACTGTGGATTTTATGCAATTATAAGGAAAGTGTATGTAGAAAAATGATAAGTGTAACGTATAAGACAATTCAGAATATTAGAAGCTGAATACAGAATTCAATGTTTCAATGATTAAACAAATCTGAAACACATTTTTTAAACTGATAAATGTTTCATTTTGCATGAAGATCCGAAGTCTAATTGCATTAAAAATAGCATGAAGAACTATCAAAGATAACGAAACCAGGATTGATATTCCATAGAATCTTATTTGATAGTTAGTATGTTGTGAATATGTAATGATAAAGTTATCGTAAAGGGATTCAGAGGGATGAAGGAAATGTGAAAGCGGATAGCAAAGTGGAATGTGTGTCTATGTGTGTGTAGAGAGTTAACATACACATATAGAATAATTTTCTAAAATGTGAATAATGCGCAAAAAGTTTTGAAAATTCTTCAACTAAGAACAAGGAAGACTCTTGCCAGTTTTGCATGACCATTAATCAATGTTTTCAAATTCAATGATATAAGATAAATGTTCCAATTTCTGTTTACGTCACAATTTCTGCTCACTGGCGTACATTTCTATAATTTTATAGATTTTAAAATTGACGAAAAATATACCAGTGAATACAAATTTATACGTAATTAAATTACAGAAAAATAAACCATTGAACAAAATTTTGCTGTCTTAAAGTTATAAAAAAATAAGTCAGTGAGTAGAAATTATGATGTGAACAAAAATTGTGACACTTATCTTAGTTTTTGGAAAGAATTTTTGAGGGAACTAAGTAAAGTTAACGAACAATGATCACACGAGGATATCAAGAATTGACTTATTCTTAATTTAAGAATCGTTACATTGCACACATTTTATAAAATATCTTGTCATATATGTGCATGCAACAAGTGTAGATAATCGAGTCACCCCAGAAAATTGCTTTCAATTATAGCACACCAGTTTGCAAATCTTAGAAATATGCTTTACAAAGATCATTATTGATTACAAAAAATTTGTTGAATTGAATTTGTCTCGCTAAACATAATGTACGTGCTGTATTATATAAATTCTCTTCATATTAACAGAATTATTGACGACGTAAAATAAAATAAGCGAATCACAGACGGTAAATGAGAAGTGTAACATATTTTCTGAATTGACGATTGCAGACACAAACTGGTTTTTCTCCGAGTGACTCATGGAAGACTGTAAATTATCGATATAAAATATATAGTAAAATATATACAGCTATATATGTATATATAGCAGATTAATTTTAAGTTAAGATTACTGTCATACTAAAGTATATAGGCAGAATGGGTGAGTGTCGCTAGCAACGTACGGGCAGGGCCTGGCTGTTTGCGCTCGCTTCCAGCTACAGCCTCCGCCATTCAGTTGCTACACAGGGCACACTTAGAGGCTCTGGCATTTCAGCTAGCCGTGCCATGCCACCGCCTCTCATTGGGACCGTTGATCGGGTCTGATTAGCTTGAGCGGCCCATCGGCAGAGGGGGATTCTCATAACTCTGGCAACAACCGAGTTGGCCAGCCCAGATGGCGTACAGCAGTAGCGTAGAACTGATATCCAGTATGTAGGAGGTAACATTGTTGCTCTCCCGTTTTGGCCCCGGACTGGCCCTTCACGGAATTGACGATTAGAGGCACGCGTCGCAGCCAGCGCAGACAATGCAAACCAGTGCACCACCGAAACAAATACTGGCGGCGGGCACCCCCAATTTGCTTTGCATTACCCGGCGTGGGTCTGCGCGCAATGTGCCTCTGCAATACAAACAAAGATCCAGCCGCGTTAGGTACATGTTTACCTTATGATCTTCCTGTGTTCAATACATGAATTTTGAATTACAGTAGAGCTTTCTCTATATGCAACTATCATCTTTCTATTCTGATTCGACATATCTCAAATGAAGCCGAGAATTACGAAGAGAAATTTACTTGGCTAATTTTGTCGTCTCTTTTAAATTCATTTACATTCGAGTTTCGGCAAGCGGCGAAGATTCTAAATCGGTTCAAGTACGTAAAATAAAAGTATAGAGATTCGTAGCATTAATTATTTAAATTCGTTTGTTTTTTCAACTTTTGATTAACTGCTGTTGTACCTTTATCAAATTAATGACTAGAATGCTTGCCGATCACACGAGCTTTTGCTTTCACTTCTAAGGCTCTTTCTTTATAAGTTTAAAAAAAAATTTATTACCTTTATAGCAAAAAGTGAGGAAGCAAAATAAATATGAACATTAGAAATGTTGAGCCACGTGAACCACGTTATGCATTCACGAAATATTAATAAGTTTTATTTCTAATCATTTTCTTTACATATATCTGTCTCAGAGTTTTAATTAAAAAAAGGGCCGGAATCATAAAGTGGTTCAAGGGTAAATCAATGAAACCTTGTTCTGACTAAAACTTGTGTTAACAAAAATTTCATGCTAAAAAATACCCAAATAAGTTGCAATCTCTTTGGACTAGAATAATCGGTTTCTTATCGTTCTGTCTTTTTTTTAACGACGTCATGTCAGAACAAGATATCTCGTACACTGCAGTAATTATTAAATTTACTGACAGAGTCATAATTTCAAGCGACTCATTCTCCACACGAAAGGAGAACCATTAATTATCTGAATAGTTCGTTACAACAATTGTTTACTTACCAAGACCGCGCGCGGCAACATCTGTAGCGACAAGAATCGGCGCTTTCCCCGATCTGAAATCTGTAAAAAGTAAAAATTAAATATTGATACACATGTCGTACGACACTCCGGAGTTTCTAAATTTCGATGTAAATACTTCAGTCGCTTTTGATATTTTTGCTAACATACAAACAAGCGCTTTCTCTTTATATAATAGTAAGATGATGTACCTTGTAAAACCCAATCTCTTTCTTGTTGCGTCTTGTCCCCATGTATACAAACGGCCGGCCAGCCATCTCTCTTCATTTTTCTGGTTATCTCGTCTACTCGGCGTTTCGTTTCGATAAATACTATAGTTTTGTTTTCGCTTTCCGCCATTATTTCTTTGAGAAGTGTGCTCAACCTGTAACGAAGCATAATTTGAAATCTTGTAGACAACTATTTGTCTATTGATCGACTTGCTTACTTGTTTTCCTTTTCGTAATCCTGACAGACGTCGATGATCTGCAAAATGTTGTGATTCGCAGCTAACTGAAGCGAACCGACGTTTATTTGAGCATAATCTTTTAAGAAGTCCTCAGCCAAGTTCTTCACTTCCTTAGGCCAAGTAGCAGACCACATTAAGGTTTGCCGATCCGGTCTTATCTGTTCTATAATCTTCCTAATTTGAGGCTCGAAGCCCATGTCCAACATTCTGTCTGCCTCGTCTAGGACCAGATAGGTGCATCTCTTCAAGTTCGTACGTCCTGATTCGAGGAAATCTAATAATCTGCCGGGTGTGGCTATTACGATTTCCACGCCACCATCCAAATCTCTAGCCTGCGCGCCTTTTGGTGCTCCTCCGTACAAGCAAGTATTTCGGATGCCGGAGGAATGGCCAAAATCGTCGGCTACTTGTTGGATCTGTTGTGCGAGCTCCCGTGTCGGAGCTAACACCAACGCGATCGGCCCGTCTTTTCTACCCAATTTTGGTTGACTGTTGATGTGAACGATCGCGGGGAGTATGTAAGACAGAGTTTTTCCGGAACCAGTAGATGCGATTCCTACCATGTCTCGTCCGCTTAAAGCAATCGGCCAGCCCTGCGCTTGTATCGACGTGGGCTCGGTGAAACCTTGTCGTCTAAAAATTAAGATGTTTCCTATTTGATGATTGAAATTGATTCGATTGTTCATTTGTATTTCGTCTCGTACGGCATCTAAATAATATTGGTATCAACATTTCTTAGAAAACATTAAATACATTTTTCAATCAGTTTTTATGAAAAATCATATAATTAATNNNTTTTCATCATTAAAAATTTTATGTTAAACTGATGAACTCTTAAATCCTTACATTACTATTAAAGCCATAGGCTGCGGATTTTATGAACTTATGGAATAATTGAGTATACTGCAAATATAAACGTTGCATCTGATGCATAAAAGTGTACAAAATATAAAAAGCGAATGAATATATTCGTGCTTATACGATAAAAAATGGTGCGATCTGAAATGCATTTCTTTACCTGACTACCTTAAATCTTCTACTTCGTATAAAAATCCGCTGTCTATGTAGTCATCAATGATATTTAAAGTTTTAATTTACTGAATTCGATTCTTATACATATATAATTAATATAACTAATAAAATAAATCAGTTTCGTTTAGTCTCTTAAAATCCTAACAATTTTAGCTCCGTTTCTTACTTGATTTGATCGAAGTTAAGTTTCCGGATTAAGCAATTTTTTAAGTTCGGACAGAATTCTTGAAGATATCATCGCGAACCGGACACGAGTTCTAAACTTGAGAAACAAATTCTAATATTGTAAGTACTAACGCATTTGTGGAATGTTCATTTTTAACACTAAACCTACCATACACCAGTGATCGTTCCCAAATTCTCCTATAAAAGATAAGGAGAACACGATATTTATTAGGCTGTATTGCTAGAGTTTTAATTATTATTTAAGGGTGTAGACTCCGATAGCAGTGAGATAAAGCAGAATGTCAATGTTATCCACTAAATTGACCAAAAATTCGAAAAAACTCATATTTTGTACTATTCTTGCCTGGTTATGAATAAAACAGAAAATGTAAAAAATTTAGCAACAAGTATCACAGAAATCATATGGCTGGTGCCCTTTAAGCTGGTTCCAAACTGAAATACCAATGCCAACACTGAATTGCAGTCGAATGTAAAAAATATAAATGCAGCGCACTGGTGTACAGAAACTGTCGGTAGGTTTAGTGTTAATCAAATAATTTCCAAGTTACTTACTTAATCTCTTTTAGAACATAGTCTGGGAAACCTGTCTCCTCAAATGTGAATACAGGATTGGGTATATTTTTTCCTTTAAGAGTAATCTCCTTCTCGCTCCGATACTGCTCGACTATGCGCAGATCCCGATTTTGAACTGCCTCATGTGGCACATAAAAATCTTTTTTGAAGGGCTCTAATCTACTCAGATCCCATCGAGGTTTCCTTAAGTTTGCTCCGGGTTGACCTCGACTGTTCCTTCCACCTCCTCTGTCTCTGCCACCACTGCTGCCCCAATTTCTTCTGTCCCTTGGTGATCTGCTACGAGATCTACTACGAGATCTACGTCTCCTATCTCTGTCACGACTACGACTAACAGAAAACGGAAAAATTAATATTAGTAAGAAAACACAGAGAAAGTTTGATACTTAGCTTCTATTTTGTTTTGGCTTTAAGAACTGGTGAAATTAGATTCTGCACAAGGGGTTACTAGTTGTCAAGCTCAAATCAAATGTAAAAGGTTATAATCGTTCTGAAAGCGTCTAAGAATTTCGCAATACCGTCGAACTTAATTACTCTTACTACGTATCATTTGCCTTCAACTATGCTGCATAAGCGATGGGAAATGAATGGCCTTAGTTGAAAATATTGGCGAACGAGTAGATTAATAGACTGTGTAATCTTCGGGTGACCAGTAGTATGTGCGTGCACGAAACGTACCTTCTGTAACGACCCATATTCAGTTCTCTCTCGATTTCCTTCTTCGTTCACAGCAACAATCCACTCTTAGCAACGATTATTCGAATGCAAAAAGCAGACCACAATTTTATCATGTAACGTACGTTTTCCAGAAGTTCGAATCTAATCAGGAGACAGAAATTGACACAAACGAAAATGATTCCGCCACCATAAACGACAGAATTTCAAGAAGCAACGATGTTATCTCAAAATTCATGACGCATGCGCCACGATTGATGCGGCCACATGGATGGAAATCGTAATTGGAAAATTACATTATAATAATTGATATTCAACTAAATTTAAATAAAACAATCATATTGTTGCCAAATTAAAGAGTGGAAATTAGTGAAATCATAACAAAAGTTGTAGTCAAGTTCCTTTTATAAATTTATTCCCAGCCAACCATCTGCCGGCAATAAACATGTGGGAAGGCAATTTCTGTTGACCAGGGTCATATCAGGTCATATCAACCATCATAATGTCAACATTTTCATACGTATCAGAGATGCTGTACGCATTCTCTTTTCCCTCTACCACCGAATATTGCCCGATCGTTCAACAGCTCCTACGAAAATACGTGATCCTCAGTAATCTTCACTACTTCCCACTACTGCTATTAGATGAAAAATTAGTGGTATGTAGAAGTAGAAGAGGAGCAGATATTGTATGCATGCGTGTAAGTGTATGACTTCAGCAGAATGTATATATTACTTTATGATGTTATTATTTTTTTACAACTTAGAATGTAAGTAAAATGTATGTAAGTCTTACGTAGCTGATAGAATGTTGCGCGTACTTTTAAGAGTTTTCAGAATTATATTCCAGTCATTCCACTGATTTGAAGACAAAGGCAAAGCATTTATTAAATAGATAGCAATAGAAATCGTTCCGCACATGAGTTGAATAATAATGCACCGTACGCGTATTGTCCTTCAATACTAATTAGTACTCATAATGCATAATAATACTACGTATTTGTATTTTTCTGTTATTCCTAATCATAATATTTCTTTTTATTACAAATTATGATTTTCGACATTTTTGAATTTCTCTGATTCTAGTGGATGGAAATTGATGAAAAAATTCAGAAATGCACTACTATACGAGTAGTATATGTAAGAATTTTTTCAAATTATTTATGTTAGATAAAAATTTATAAAGTTTGTTTCAAACTCAAACTTCTATGCATCTTGTGCGCACACGCGATGGTTTCCCATATAGGCGGTCATGTTGAATTTACGGCTTCATATCAGTGTGATCTGTCAATAAGACAGATCGTATATAGTAAGTACTGAAGTACTCTGTCACTGTCAGTAGTGTGGTAGTGTCAGTGGTGTCAGTACCGTCAGTACCCTGAGTACTCCAGTGCCGCCGACAGTGTCATAACCTCAATAACGGTGTAAGATGAGTAGCTTTCGAACGACCAAAGCGTAAGGAGAGGTCAGCTTCGTTTTATATATTATAAAGCTTAGAATGGAAACGAAACTGTCAATTATAATTGCTACAACGATGAGATCATGCTGTTGTTCTCTATCCAAGTGTTAAACAATTTTAATCAGTTTGAAAACGATCAATCGTGTTCGAAATACGTAATTGCATTAAAATATTGCAAGTTTTGCCTGATCTGTCGTTGAAGAGAACGGGAATAAGAAAGTGGAAAGTCTTCTAAAAAAAAAAGATGATATGACAATTGAAAGTCATAAGGCCGATGGGTAATAATGAATGCATGCGGTAGAGAATCCTTGGAACGGCGAACGCGCGTGCAAGCGAGAGACAATATGCATGATCTAATAAAGACGACGCAAGGAAGGTGAATGAGAAAATCATCGCGAACATCAACGGCGACTAACTTTCAGGACACGTCCGTCATCGGTCGCTGCCTTTTTCCTTTTTGACATGCAACAACTACGATACGATGAGGAACGGGACGATAACCACACGTGCTGATGTTTACACGGAAGAGATCCCTTGTACATCTGATGGGTAACATTATTTTTTTATTTTATCAATTATTTTTAATCATTAAATGGACTTTAGAGATATTTTCTTTTGTCTTTGATATGACGATTCCATGTGGAATGTGCTAATTGTATTTCAGAGAATGCTACTTTTCTTGGCTTTTTCTTCTGGGAAACTTTTTATACTCAATTCTTATTTTTATCGAATCCACGTATCAAATAAGATGTAAAGAAATCAATTTTGAGTTTAGGAATTAAGCGATTTTGACGTATTTTCTACTGTAGTATGACATTGACAGCTCAGTGTCAGATATTTTCAAAACTTTTAATTCGTTATGTAAGATTTGCTACGTGACGGGAACGCACAAATAGATAGGCTTTTTTTAAAGTTCTTATTGCATAATCTGAATGTAATTGATGAGAAAAAAGAAAATATGAAGTCGATTCAGAATATTCTGCTCACAAAAATTTGAAATATTAAATACGAAAAATCGGAGATAAAAAGTCGAACAGTTCCCGACGTTTAAAATTTATTTCTTCAGAATTTGAAAATTTGCTGAATTTTTTTATAGTGTTAATTACTGATGAATGACTTGAAAAAATTCTGGTATGTTCTTTTGATTGTACTAGTATGTTTCTTATCATTTTCTGTCCACTAGAGTCAGAGGAAATAAATACCAAAAATATCGAAATGTCATTATCAAATTTGGCAATATCAAGTACTAATTAACTGCAAAGAATTAATTCCTAAACCAAAAAGAGTTTTTTTATAAAGTTATTGCACACGTGGATACGATCAAAATGAATTTTTAGTGACAAAAGAGCTACTCAGAGGAAAAGTTCACATCTTTTTTTATTTTCAATATCAGTGTTGCTTTATCATATCCAATTTCTTCAAAGGAGGCAAAAATGCTTTTAAAGGTGTATTAAATTGCATTATTGTTGGTCGTGCACATTTAAGTTTGCTTCACAGCTATCGTTTTAATTTATGTTGTACTGTAGATAATTATATCTTGTAATTACTGTTTTTTGATAACGCGAAATATTTAATGTTCCCTTCTATTATCGAATCCTTAATATCTCGTGTCAGACGTTTTACGGTGTCAAGTGACTTCTACGAAGGTGAAGAAGTAATTTAATCTGTCATCTTTGAAGGTAAACGAAACGAGCATGTACAACTATGTATGTAAATACATACGTTATGTAAATGCATCATATAAAATATAAAATTCATTACGTGTTTGAATAGGTAGTTAGAAATAATAAAATCGCGGTCGTAGTTCGTCTAGCAAATTTTTTCGCAAGACATTGCCCACGAAACATTTCGTTTTTTGTTCTGTATGTCCTATCCTGCTTTAAAACCGGTTTCACGTTGGCTGGCTATGTGTGTATATTAAAGGATGGAATAAGTCAAACTAAACTGGCGAGAACGCGCGCGTGCTGCGGTAAACTCTACATAAATATCGGCTAAAAAAAGTTAATGAAATTACAGGCGTAACACGTTATCTTTATAAACACCCGATAAGATTGAGGTATCATTATTCAGCTGTGTAAAAAGCAACGTTAACACAAGCATACTGAATCATTCTTCATTTCAAACACTTTACATGTAAAGAAAATGTTTCAGTTTCTACTC